GAAAAAGTTGAGGAGCAAATTGCGCGGGGGGGGACCCCGTCGGGGAATGACCGCTCCCCGTGTTCCCCGACGGGGAGGACGGGGAGCATTTCAGCTCAATTTTTTAAACAAATTTAAAGATTTTTCTTTTTTTAAAAGTAGTTTTCTTTCAATTTTCATCATGCATTCGTCCATCCAAGTATTCGCCTGTCGTCCATTGATGTTTGGAAATTTTTGTTTATTTTCATTATTCAAAAATTTGAAGTTGTTCTCAATTTTTATTTTCGTGTTATTGCTATTTATCTTCATTGATCTTTAATAATAATGCCGATATTCAATGGATCGAGACATACGATTCCGTTTTTTGGACTGTTTTTCCGCCTGTTGATTACTAAGCGCAACAATAATAATAATGCCGGCATATAATTTGGGAATAGCGCCATAAACATTTATTTCTGCAGCTGTTCTTGTGCTGAAGTGAATTCATTTGTTTTTTAAATCTTCTTTCTTTCTTCGTCCTTCGTCTTCTCCTCAGAGACATCGTCTGCGAGTAAGCGTTTTCTGTTTCCAGCCATTAGTATTTTTATGTTCTTTCTCTAATCATCGTTGTTGTTATTAGTACTATTCTGACAATCTCATAAATGAACTGATCTTTCTCACTGAATTTTGTTCAACAAAGGTAATTTTACTCGTTCTCTTCATTCATTTGCTGTGTGATACCATTTAAAATTTCATTTCTGATTCTTCTCTTTTCATATCATACAACATATCGAAACGTTTCCATTTATCTCCTTTAACAAGTTTCTTTACCTTTTACAGGTAGTTAGTTACAGTTACAGTCCGTCGTGTACGAACGAGTGCATAATATAATGTAATATTCGATTCGTTTATGTCAATACTGCTAATTGAATTATTGTTATCGCTGTTGCTTTCACTTCTACTACTTATATAATTCGTTGCATATCGTACTATCATTGCTTTCAATAGCACTTATTATTAAGTAATAACAGAATATTTTCAATTGCTGTCGTTTATATCATTTTCGTTTTTACTGTTACTAGTGATATTATTATTATTATTATTATTATTATTATTATTATTATTATTATTATTATTATTATTATTATTATTATATTATTGTACATAATTATTACTGTTATTATCATTGTGATTGTTATTATTGCAACAAATATTGCTGATATTGATTCCATAATCTTACAAATTGGAAATTAATTTTAAGAAAATTGAAAGCGATTGCTATTGGAGAAGGAGAGGGCGGAGGGAAAGACTCCTTTATTGTTAATATTGATTAATTAATTGAATCGTTGTTCTCACAACCTTTCAATAGAAATTGAACTTGATACAATGATATCTACCACTTCATCTCAACTGCTACCTTCTTCTTCGTGTTCTTCTGTGGTAAACTATCACAGTGCTAATAATAGTAATAGTAATAATAATAATATTATTATTATTGACAATAATAAAGATAATGATAATAAAATTAACAATAATAATGGGTGGAATGATGATGACAAAAATGGTAATAGGAATCGTATTAATAATTCTTCACACTTCTTAATATTATCCGACGAATTTGCTAATAATAGCAATCTTAAAATTATGCCTGGAAATACTGTTGCAATCAATGATACTGACAACGATAATGACCACAATAATTGCAATAACGATAATAATGGCGAAAATGATAACGACAATATGATCGTTGGTAATGAAAGAAATACAGAAGACAACGGACGAACGTTCAAAAAAGTACCGGCAAAACGAACACCTAAAGAATGTTCAACCAATCCAGTAGACGATTCGAATAGAACGAAAGAAATTCATAAGAGAAATGAGGGAAAAAAAAGTGAACGGGAAGAATCGAATTTAGCGGACGGCAATGATTCAGAAAGCTTATCGAAAAGAACGAACATATTGAATGCTTCGAATAATAATCCCTTAGAGGTGTTTCTTTCAGCACCTCCAATCTTATTCATTACAGATAGTAATAGTAGTTGTAATGATAATGACAGTATTTATCAAAATGATAGTCGTAATGATGAAATGACTGAATTGGCAGCAAACGAAAGTGATTTAAATGAGTATGAAAAAAGGCAGTTAAAATCAGATATTTTTGATTATAACTGTCAACAGCAACAATCAGTTGATAATTTATTGACAGCAGCAACAACAACGACGACTGGTAATAATAATACTACTAAGAGTAATAATAAAAGTAAACGAAAGCTTGAACCAACGCTGAGGAAGTCGTCAAGTGCAGAACAAGGTTATCAGGGTAGTTCAATTCAATTGCAAATCGCTCGTTCATGCTACTCACCCGACCATCCTCAGCACTATCAGTCATCGCGATGCCTATCATCAGTTCGAATTCCACTCAAAAGTGCTTTAAAAGCAACCAAATCAGATGCTTATTTACTCAATACTGGATTCCATCATCCAGTTTTATCCAGTGACAGCGATAACTCCTCACTGAACACCATTAGTGCATCACAAAATTGTTTCTATCGATCACTCAGCAAATCGGATCTACTCGAGTTAAGGCGTACCATCAGTAAATCCGACTTCAAGCAGGTGCAAGACCCTTTATCACGTCCAAAATTGAAACGTAATAGCTCATTGGATTGTCCACCAGGCCACGATTTCATATTTCGAATAGATGCCGTTCTACCGAATCATCGAGACTATGGTCGAATGCCACCCTTTTACGATGCCACTGATTCTGAAGAGGGTGATTTCATACGTCCTTCTGTGCTATTCCCGTCCATGAGGTTTCTGTTGATTACCATTCACAAAATTATTAGTACTGTTTTTGTTACTATTATTGTTACTGTTACTATTATTGCTATTGTTATTGTTATCTGTAATAAACCTTAGACAAATCGATATGTTTTTGCTTATTATGAAATGTAAACTGTAGAAAGGTTTGAAAAAGATATCGGCTGAAGAGAGGGATGAGATATGATATGATATTTTCAGGTTATTGATAGCAGCGTTATTATGTTGTTGTTTTATAACACTTTCAATAAGTTCATCCAATATGGCCGTTGCATTAATTTGTATGACTTCGTGTTCGATGCACGGTTATGGTGGTGAGTTGGAATGGCATAGTGAAGAGGTTGGTGGGCTCTTCTAATATTTCATTTATAGGGACATGTTCAACTTATATGGCTACCTAATATATTTCTAACCTGTAAACGCCCATGTTCTGTGTTGCTCAACAGGCTAGCTTATGAATATACGTTTAGCACACATTTATGCCAGTTTAATTGCAGTTTCAATGTAACTATATACTTTACTTTAGCACCACTCACTAAAATCTAGCTACATCACTTTTCATGTGCTTTAATTACGATCGCATCTGGTCAGACGGCCGACGCATTAATGAGCTAATTATACATGAAGAGTCCTCAGTCTAACTGTGATACCAAAATGATCTTATGTTATTTTTATTATTGATGACATATCATGAACGCGCACGTATTGCAGCTAGGCTACCTTGACCAATGTTTGTTTCACATGTATTTTCCATTTTAGAGCCGTGTCAGTGGCCATCGTAACTTGAAGGGCACCGAATCGCACGGCCACTGACCAGCAAGCACGTTAACTGTTTGCCATTATGTTGACCGACCAAAAGATTCCGTTGGTCACCAATAGAAAACGAAAGTTGTTTTTGTTAATGTTTTTTGTATGAAGTATGAACCGTTTTGCAGGAAGGCTTTGTGTTAGCAGCACAAAATGCAGGGTCGCTGTTGATGGTCGTAACAGGTTTATGGGCTGATCGAATCAACGGTAAATGGATGGTCGGCGGTAGTTTAGTGCTGTGTGCACTAGCGAATGCGGCTTTACCGGTCATGGCACGTGAAAACTTTTGGTACGCAGTTGCAGCACGTCTTGCGGTTGGTGCTGCAGATGCCTGCTTATCGCCAGCTGCAAATTCACTCATCACACGATGGTTTCCGCATACGGAACGTGCCGCTGCGATTGGCATCATTACGGGTGGTCGTCAGATCGGTTCGTCAATTCAGTGCCCAACTTCAGTTGTTCATGTTCATCTTGCAAAAATCTTTAATACGTTTTCTTACTGTTTTATAATTACTTCTACAAAACTGAATCATTCTTATTCTTCTTGCTGTTACTAAAACTAATGTTGTTATCACTATTGCTAATATTATTATTGCTAGTATTGTTATTATTGTTGTTATTGTTGTTATTATTGTTAATATTATTGTTATTATTATTCTTAGTAGTAGTATTAGTAGTAATAGTAGCAGTTATATTATCATTATTACCGCTGCTGTTATAAAACTGCATTGTTATTTTATGATTGATATTATCTTGAAACATGTTCAGGAACGTTATTCATCTTACCAACGGCTGGATATTTATGCACTCGTAAAGATATTTTGAATGGATGGCCAGCGATATTTTATTTGAGTGCGATGATCGCCATTCTTGTCACACTCTTCTGGTTACCGATGGGTGCTGATAAACCATCGAAACAAGGTTGCATTTCACGACAAGAGCGTCTTTTTATTGAAAGCAGGTCAGTAATTGTTTACCTTGTAATGCTGACATGATTTTATGATAATCTTAATGATAATAATAATCGCAATTAATATAGATGAAATAAAGAATTGACCGTGTTGCAATTGCATTAAAATTAGACGTTACATAGAAAGAGAAGTAGATTAATGATGATGACAGTGGTGATATGGAGAAATCAGTTCACAAAGAACAGTAACTCGTAATGATACGTGAGATGATTCCATTCAAAAAATGAATCAGAAGAATTCGCTTGACAAGTTTTTCATTGCATCTGTTTAAATCTGTCATTATTCTTATCACACTTCCAATTGTTGCGTTACTTGTTTTTGGTAGCGATGATTGATGCGATAAATAGTAGTTTGCATATATTAGCTAAAGTAAGTTGGAGTTGTTTTTTAAAAATAAATCTTCATCCTCGTTTCGTTCCTTAAGAAACTGGTAGTTGCACAGATTAATACTCCCTAATAACTTATCTCTGATACTTTATCCAAGAACGCTTATAAAAGATTAATATTCTACTTTATTATTCATTCACTTCACATTGAATTGATCGAGCGTTATTCAGCTTGTGAAATAAAGTGACTCGCTGAAATATGCATGAAAATGCGCATATGAATGCTTTTCTTTGTTGTAATCGAAATGTGAATCAGTGCTTTCAGAATAGCGTGTGAATCAATCGGAAAACGAACCGCACCTCGTCACGTACCGTGGTCAGCGATTTGTCGTTCACCGGCCGTCTGGGCCGGTGTGTTTGCGTTGGTTTGTCACGAGTATCCACTCGTTATCATGTTACAATTCCTGCCCAACTATATGCGCGATATCCTTCAGTTTGCACCCGCAAAAAATGGTATCGTCTCAGCGCTGCCAATTGCGTGTCTTTTCATCAGTAAAACCCTATCATCAAGTTTATCCACATGGCTTACCGAACATACCACGTGGACGAAGAGTAAAATTTGCAAGGTTCGTTTGTTACTAGAATACAATATAGTAGGACAGCAATTGATATGATGTGGTAAGAAATGATGTAATGTGATATGATATGATACGATATTTCAAGCACATTCATTTGTTCATTTTGTAGCAATTAAACTACAACTCACTGCGATCAGCATATATACAAAATGCCTCTTAGCGGTGTTATCATAACGAGCACCTTCTTCATTCTTTAGTGAATTATTTTTTGTGTTAAAGAACATTTATTCAAACAAACTCAGCTATTTACACTCATATGCGCGAACCTTTCGTTCTTTCACTGAGTGCTATTCATAATCAATCCAATAGATATTATGCACATCATAGTACACTTGCGCAAGTTTATTAACTAACTTTTGCTTTATTATAATGGCATATAGAGAGATTTTTTGTCCATCGATTGATAACTCTGTGCAATGATATTTGATGTTGAAAGATTCTATTCCATTTTAACAGCTGTTGTTTCATTCAGAGTAGTTTTTTTCCCCTGAACTGAACAGATTCGACTTTTTTCTAGAATTTTTTTGGAACTGATTGCTTCTTGTTGTTCAGATTTTCAACGGAATCGCATCAGCTGGCCTTTCGATATGCGTATTGGCCGTACCACAATTCGACAAGAACACATCTTTCCTGGCTATTATTGCATTGTGTGGAGCGATGTTATTCGCAGGTCATTTTTTAATAACTGTGTTGCTGTTTTGTTCATTAATATTATATTCGTCATTCTATCTATCTGATACGTTTGTCTAACTCGTTGAAAATTAATTTCATTCCATTTTATTTATTCTCATCATCGTCATTTCATTATTATCATAATTTTAGTCGCATTATTACTCACTGAACCTTTTCACTTTGTTTTTCATTTCTTTTCTGTTCCAATTCATTTCTCACTTCATTCAGTATTAATTTGTTGGAATTTTTGTTCTTTTTTAGAGTTTCAATTGAAATGTTTATTTTTCATTTCCGTTTCCGTTTAGTTTTCCCTTTTTCCTTCATTCATTCATTTATTCGTTCGTTCATTCTTTCTTTGAAGTTTCTTCTGTTGTGTAATAATGGTGATGACAATAGCAGTGATGAACATAATAATGATAACAATAATGATGACGATGATCATAATAGTGATATTACTAATGATTCTATCAATAATCTAAAACATGAATTCATTCGCACTATTGCTACAAAATCTGATGAAGCCATTTGGAAGCAATGAGTGTTTGCCATAATTGTTTGCGGAACTTGATTTGTGCAGCAAAATATTGAGACTGTTTGCTTTGCCATCTTCAGGACTACATACGCCTGGCGTACAAACTGCGCTAGTGCAACTGGCTCCACCATTCTCTGGTGTCATAACAGGTTTATCGTTTTTTGTGGTTGCATGGTTTGGTATTGGCAATAAAATTTTGACGAAATTTATCGTGCGAAATGGTACACTTCAAGAGTGGGCTACTGTACGTTTATTTCTTTGTTTATTTTTTGATGTATTTGTTGACATTTCTATCATAAATCAGTTTCGTTTCGCGTATTTGTTTCTCTGTTTGTGTACTTCAAAGACATAGCAGCAGCACATATTCAAATTCAAAATTCTCCATCATTGCTTTGTCATCGTTTTCCATCTTTCTTTAGAATAGACTCATGAACAGTTATTTAACTCAGCCATCCAACCAACACAAACACGTAACAACAATGAAAATAATTATCAAAAATACAGGTGATGCCACACGGCACGTTGTCTGGTATGATAACGTACAATAGTATTTACGTATATATTCATCAATCTTTCATCTCTCTGTCTTCCAGGTATTCTACGTCTCCGGTGTAATAGCCGCATTACCAGTAGTTGTTTTCACGATTTGGGGTTCTGGTGAACGACAGTGGTGGTCAACGCCTAGCTCGAAAGCTTCAACGCATTCGCTGAACACTCAAGCGACGAATGTTTCCAATTAAGGTGATCAGTTGAACGTCTTTAAAAGTTTTTTAAAACTTTTATTTGGTTTGTTTGTTATTATCAGATTTCATATACGGGTCGGGTCGTTGTACTCTTGTAATTTGTCTACGGCACTAAGCTTTCAGAAAATCTGTTCTATTCCTGAGTGAATCTGTTTCGTTCAACTCGTCTTTATTTCGAGTTGAGTTTATGGCCGTAATAATAACGATATGCATGATAAATATAATTTAGTTACTTGAAATATTAGTACAAGTTTGCAGTGATGATTCTAATATAAATTCAAATCAGAAATTTGTAAATCGTTCAAGTTTTAATTGGTGTTTTTAGAAAATTGTCATCAAGTGTGTTTTCTCGATCATACGACGACGAGTAGCAGATATCAGTTTTTGCTGTCATCGTTATGAGATGATAAACTCACCTAAATCGACGAGTCTTCAGATGTGATTAAAAATCGGTCGTAGTAAACTATTTGTGCTTGTTAAAAGAAATGGTGGCCACACACATATTTCAAGTATTTACTTCTTATGTTGGCAAAGCCGAATGGGGAACAGTACGGTGTAATGTATCATATTTATGTGTTTAGCTGGTATGTTTTCTTAATAAGCGAACTGTTATGCGTTATGTTATCCTATGATAATCATTATGATAGTATTATTAATGATAGTGCTATTGATAATAATAACAACAATAGTTAAGGTGATAATAACAACTATAGTAATGATAATGATCGAACGAGAAAGTATTGAAGATTGTGAATAAATATTTGTTCGATCTCACACCATTAATTGATAATAATTTCCATTTTCGTTGTTTTTAAGCTACACATACTCGAAGTTAATTCATACGATTGGTAAACGACGAAGAAATTTTGTTTTCATTAGTGAATTTTTCTTGCGACGAATTTCGGGAATTGTTCATGGAATTTATTATTAATGGCAATATGTATTTGCATGAATGGTTAGCATAAGATTCATTATTATCTTACTCAATACTCCATTCACAGGTTTTTATTGTATGAAGAGTGGCGTTATTTGATGTCGAATTATGAACAACGTCTATCATACAAACAGAAAACAAAGGAAAATATAGTATTTTGCTGTACTGCTATCATGATTGTGTAAGTGAAGTGTTTGATGATGATGATAATGATAATGATGATCTCAATGATGCCTTTCATGTGATGATTTTTCAATAATTATCTGAAGGTTTTCTCACTTTTATTGTATGTTTATTAGTTATTCGTTAAGACCGATCAGTTTTTTCTCATCTCTGTGATTGATTGATTGAATGAAATTATATTGTTGTCGGCCAAGAATAGATCATACTGAAATATAATTATGATTTATGTGATTATTATTGTTTTCATTTATCTTCATTCATGCATTTCATTGGTGCCTAAATAATTCTTGTCGTTCTTTGTTCTTCTCATTCCTATAATTAAATGAGTATTCTGAAGAAGATTTTGCTGCTCATTTCTATTATTGTTGGTTGAAAAGCCGTTACTTTTTAGTCGGTTCATCGAATCATTGATATTTGATTATCAACTTCTATCAATGTTGTTCTCAGTTGTCGCATCTAGCGCTAGAAATCGACACATTTTTTGATGGTAAACACTCGTCAATGGTACATCTTGCTTACTGGACAGTCGTTATCAACGGGCGTGCGATTCGGTGACCATCAAAATTTGGTACCCACCGAAGAGTGTCTTTCGCTTTCGGTCAGTGACTACCGATTTTCGTGGTTCATCCACTTTCGGTGGCCACCAGCCCAACTCTAATCCTATCACACTTAGTGATATTAATCACTTGATCCGAACTTTATCAGTTAAAAATTTTCAGGTAAATTTATCTTGCAGTCAGTGTGTGAGCATTATAATGATCTGAAAATCAGATTCGATCGATGCATCATATGTCGGTATTCTTTTGCGCTCTAGTTTGCGTTCGACCGGTTCTTACCATCCCAAAAAGCTCCGAAAACGGAATGACATCGCTTCCAAGGTGAGTATTACTGCGGCCGATCAACCAGCATATCAGTGCTACCTTGAGAAGTATGCTGAGACAGGCAATTTTAATGGATCTGTTACCAGTCATAATTGAAACTTTTAATTAATATGGGATGCTTCATTGCGAATCAACTTTTTGTATATAATCAACTGCGTATTATCATCCAGCGATGTATGTGCATCACAGTAAAGCATCTGAAAAATGCTCCATAAAGACGTATGTCAGTGCCTATTACTGCAATATGTTGACGTATGACTCTACTCGCTTATGAAAATCAATCTTTTGTGAGGGTAATTTTCGTGTATGTGTTTGCCTATGTTTTAGCGTCAGTTTTGATGTTCAGTTGTGATCGTGTTATTGACACACACCTGTCTGTATTATGGATATGTGAAAAAGAAATAAAGTTGCAGATGTCTTAATCAAGCTGAGTTTCGATGTGAGTCGGGTGAGCAGTGTATTCCGAAGGAATGGCTTTGTGATGGTCGAAACGACTGTGCGGACGGAAGTGACGAACGTTTCTGTCGACACGATAGCTTTCAGCCGTTTTTGGTCGGCTTATTTTTGTTTGAGCGTGACTTCATTTTTAAACTTCACGTATGGTTCATTTTAAATAGCTATGTGACTGTGGAACTGCTTTGCTCAAGAGTATGAAAACTGTCATCATTTCGACTAGATCACTAGATCATATCGTAACATTTTCTACGTTCTCAGCTTTAGGAATCACAAGGAAAGTATCGTGTTGCAACACTGAAATGCCCAAGCACATGGTTCTTTTGTCGTGACTCAACGAATTGTCTTCATCCAGCGGATGTCTGTAACGGAATCAAAAACTGCAAGTTTGTTTTTAGTTTCGTTTAATCGTTGTTTTTCCCAAAACACTAGAATTACCCACGTAGTAAGAAATATTACGATAATGTTCAACGTTTCGACGCTATGCCATCTTCAAGAAAATCCTTTTGAATCAATTTTTCTAACTAACCTTTGTCAACAAGATAATCTCAGTGTTTTGGCTTACCTATTAGAGCTATGCGCCATATTGATGAAGGAACATTTTTCCATTGCTATGGAAATAAAATATTACATTGTAACATGAAATCGCGAAAATTTGATAGAAAATTTGCTCATCAATATATTCGCCAACCAAAGTGAAGTTTTCCGCTACAATCTAGTAGAAATACTGTGAATGCTGGCTGTGTCCAATAGAAATTTCTGTAATTGGGTGAGATTGTTAAGAGTAAATATGTGATATGTAAACAGTAATCGATTAAATTTTATGCATAATAAGCGCGAAATACGTATTGTAGTGATGGATCGGATGAGGAGGATTTTTGTATGAATTTAGAGCAGTTAAAACGATCTGAAAATGAGCCATATGTGGAATGAATAATTGAGTGAATATCAATGAAACCTCCGTTACCAGGTTAAAAAGAACTTCTTTTATTATTGCTGTTCATTACTTTTTAAAAAAAATAATGAATAAGTACTGCGAATGATAATGATCGTAATTTAACAGTCATTTTAGTTGGAGTGCCTCGTCACCAAATCGAACAGCACCCAATATTGTTGACGATGGTGAATCTGAAATGAAACCAATTGCAAAAAAGATACTTTTTTGCTGGTTTGGAATACTGTTGCAATTTTATCATTCCATCTTAGCAGTACTAGTAAACGAAGTTTTCTTCTGGATTATTATGTGTCAATGTAAATCATATCAACAACTTAATCACCAACTGACCCATGTTAGTAAAACGCTTCCGGGAAAGTAATTGCTTCAGAGTGCTTTGTGCGGCATCCAGTTCTTCATCATTTTGCAATTCGCTGGAATTAAAAGATCGATGGCGTTGATTTTTGATTTGGTTGATTTTTCAAAGACAACTTCGTATTTGATTCCTATTATTCTGTAGTCGTTCTTACCCAAGAAGATGTGCTCTAATAAAGGACGTTTGTTTGTGTAACATGTCGGAACGATTAGTAGATTCACAAGCTGGAACCTGGTCGTGTGCAGAATATTGAGAAACTGGATTTGGGATGTGAAAGGATTTACAAACGGATGCCATCTGGTCTCAACCTTAACGCAGCAGTTCATTGATGATTCACATCTTAATCTGTAACTTGCGCCGCGTATTTCATTCGACCTCATTACTGCAATTTAAGCGAGTTATCAAACTTTATAAATCACCTCTTAATGACATAACGGAATAAGTATTCATAATAATAGATAATTCAAATATTTGGCTTTTTTCCGTTCGAATGCGCCGCATAATGCTCGATGCTCTAACCTTGTCTGTGATGACTCGAAACGTCCAGTAGATCACCTTCATAGATAATATCATAATAACTGCAACCTTGCAGTCTATGCGGGAAATAGTCGAGAATATTGAAAAGCCTGAAAGCATCATTCACATTTTTCAAGCTAGTCATAAACGACTAAAAGTCGGTATCCTCTAGTGTCTGTGTCAAATCCTAGCGGAAAAAAAATAAACCAAATAGAGCATCCGGCGTAAAAAGTGATTATACCAAAACAGATATGAAGCAATGCCATAATTTATTTCCCTTGATTTAAGCGTGTTTAAGCCTACTAATCTTATATATGTATGTATCATCTATGACCTTTCTACTTGTATATCCACCTTTATGATGCCTTTTTTTTTTCAGAATATTTGTGTATGTTCATTTGAACTAGTGTCTAATTTAGCTTCATCTTAGTTTCGTCCAGCTAAATGATTTAGAGACGATAACAAAGAAGTGTAAAGATAAGTGAATGCATCAAGTACCGTTAATTAAGCGATTACTGTGGATCGCAGTCGGTGATTCGTCCATTAGGTGTGGTTCTGATCTGAAATTGTTGCCCTCTGCAGAAGTTACTTCCGTCATCATTGTCGTAGTTTACATCATTATCAGTATCGTTAGCATGATTACGATTCTTCTTAGTATGTGTATGATCATGATCATTGATCTTAATTAGATGTAAAATAGTAATGGATGAAACGGCATTCTTCCGCAATAAGACACAACACTGGAATTTAGTATGAGACTGAGTTGATGATGTCGACGGCATATCGCTATTGACATTTGCTGATGTTGAATCACTGAAAATAATGAATAAAGTTTATTATCAGCGATTGATGATATTTGTTGTTATTTTATCAAAGCATCAGGATGAGGTGTGATCACATTGTAAAAAGTTTTAAATGAATAACTGATTGATGATAGTGCTGCTGATAAAAGTTGATTCATTATGTCTTACAACATTAGGTGATAATTTCTGCTGAACTCGAATCTCACCTCGCCTCGCTTTGATTCGCGGTAATCGTCAGTTCACCATCTGTTCGGGTTTACATCAGTATAGGTCGAAGTATTGTCATGTCATAAATGATAAAAGGAATCGAACAGCTCTATTAACAGTAACTAACCAATTCAATAGATTCGTTTTTAGTCAACATAAAAATGAGCGTTTCAGACTGATAGTGTTGTTGTGAATAGAATGGATTGCTTGCATGAAGTTTACTTGACTAATTGAACTCACTGCATCACCAACTGAAACTGTTAGTTGATTCATTCATTGATTCATTTCTTTATCGAGTTTATCTAACAATCATTTAAATGAGATTCCATCACTGCAAATGATAGCGGACATCGTAACAGAATTGTTAGTGATTACGAGTACTCGGAAAGTTTTTTCTTCGAGGTCTACATTAAATCACTAACAGGTTGTCTCTTATCGTTCTTATTATTGATCTTTTCATTGTTTATTATTACTAATAATAACAGATAATTAGATAATAGATACAAGCCGGATCATAGCTTGGCTCAGGCTCACAACATTAATGATATTGGTATACCACTCGGTCTCGAGCAAAACTTTCCTCCGCGAACGGGAATCGAACCCGTATGTACCATTTAACGATTGGGACTCTACCTCTGAGCTACCGCGGAGACCGTTCAGTCGTCGCCGAGTGATTGTGTTAAGATCACAATCAGTTCTTTAGTGCACAACGCGAAAACTAATCTGATGTCTATTATCCAGTTATCTGTTATTATTCGTTATGTTATCGTGATCACGGACAGATCAGTTCGCTCATCAGATTAGTGTCGCATTATGTGCACTGGAGAACTGATTGCGATCTTAACACAACCACTCGGCGGAGACTGAACAGTCCCCTCGGTAGCTCAGAGGTAGAGTCCGAACCGGTAATTGGTACGTCGTGGGTTCGATTGCAGATTCTCTTCTGCCAATTATTGCTGGTAAAGTTTTGCCAGGCACCACCATTGTATCCGATCTATAGTCGGCAGATGGTGGTATCGAAAATTTGCCACAAAAGTATCGACATGAGACTGTAAATTGTTCGAAACATTTTGTAGATGCCAATACTGGGGCGTACACAAACGGAGTGGAGTGAATGTGGCAGAAATTCAAGATGAAACACATGTCCCGGTTCGGGGCTTGTTATCAAGTTAGATAGGACAGTTCGTTTGGAAGAAAGAATTTCGAGGGGAAGATTGCTTATATAATCTGTGCAAGCAAATAGCAGATATGTACCCCATACAATATGGGGCAACAACAGCATACTTCAAACCCAACGGCCCTCTTCGGGGCCACCAGATAATGCAGCTGGGTAGACACGTAATGAAAATGTAATATGACACAAATGAGAATGAGGGTGAGACGAAATACAACAAAAGAGAGATACGATGTAGTCAATGAACGCAGACGTGGACTCTCGTTTTTAGCGCTGTGACAGCTTTTCGGCAGCAGTGCCGAAATTCCTGTGACAAGTTCGTTGGATGAAAGCTACAAACAATTACCTACTTAAATTACTGCATTTCCTATTGTTAATTGATCAATCATGTCATTATTGAGTCATGTGTCACACAATTAATTAATTACCAGCAGTTTCATTTGAGGAGATAGAACGATTATCATACAGATAAGAATTCATTAGTTGATTCTTAAATACTTGCATATCATCTGGATGTAATAAATCGAACCAGTTCCTAAATTCATGGATGAATATTACCAATTCGATTCGTATTATTCAATTTCAGATTTCTTCAGCTTTAGCTGAAATGTTGGCTGTGGATTCATAAATAACAAAAAAATTTAAAATACAGGTAAATACATACATTTGTCTCAAATCGTTGAATTCGTTTTTTATTGCCTGACGTTGACCTTGTTGTTTTAGTAATGCCTTCGGATGCATATAAAATATTACCCGTTCCAAGATCCGTAACAACGAAGATGCTCTCAATACACTAAAATAGAGATATAATGTAAAACATATATTATTTTGGTGTAGAACTTATTCAGTTCGGCTTGCCAATAATAATTATCAATACGGATGATTGATCATTGGGTTATTTTAATATCGAGATTCCAAAGTCTAGCAAATGCGTTTAGTTTTCAAAATACATAAGTTTAATGAACTTTTACATACTGAATGATCGAATAATTGTTTGATTCACTTATACCTTTTCCATCAGGTAAAACAATTCGGGTAGCGGTAGAAATGTTGTGGCTCTTTCATTATAGTTCCATTCTTTCTCATCGTTCGATTCTAAAATGTTCAACTTTTCAATGTGATTTCAGTTGCTTTATAATCATAAAAACCATATTCGTTTGCAGTTTTTTTGAGTGAACTTAATCAAATGATTTTTTTGTAACTCATTTTCATTGCCCAACTAACGTCTATTTACGAAATGCTAGTCAGCTCTCAGAATACTTGTTGCCTGATGTTCATATTAGCTTTTACTTTTTTCCATTTGAGACTGGGAAATGGCTAAAATATGCATCAAGCTATGGAGGATTGAAAGCTGGCCTCTCAGGCGTGTTCGCCATGCGAATTTAATAATTGAGAGGGTTTATAATCGCACATAGTACAGTCTGGCCTTAAGTCGAACAAATATGGCGGAATGTTCAGCCGAAATGCTGCTCATTGCAATCAAAAACTTTCCAGTTCTGGGTAGTTTGCTTTTCGACAACCTCAGACATTTTTTTCTTTACCACTTTATAACAGTTTGAATGTTAAGATATCCTTATTATTTACAAAGTTATAGTTAGGATACGGTAGTCACCATCGCCACTCTGAAGATAGCTCGCTCAATCTTTACGACTCAATCTTTCCTTCACTTGTCAGCTCTCTTCCCAGTACTTACCTCTGCTCTACCTATCCAGCCTATTCATAACAACATATTCCCTTAATACCGTACAATCGCTTAATTGACCGAATGATGAGTTCAAAAGTCATTTTGACATAATTTTGATATCACCTAGAAGTGGAAACTGTGAATAAATGTGCTATGCTGTTCAAGCAGGTATAGAGATCGTTAAAAGTAGCATTAATATCACTGTTCCTAGCCTGTGATTAGCGAATAGTGTAACACTATGTATAGAGGAGCACTGATCGGTGCAAATTCACTATCAATGCAGTTTTCAGTTGTGTAGTTAAACATTACGGTACGTCATGCTACCTTATGAATATTTCAGATGTTGTACGTCGGATGACAACTTTTTGGCTGGAGGAGCCTAACGGGGAAGAATTCGTCCGTGAGGGAACCTCTGACAAAAGGTTTAGGAGCAACACTGTTAGGGGGGGGGGGAACTTGTCGGAGAATCCCCGTTGTGGAGGACGGGGAGGAGCAATTTAACACAAGAAAATTTGTCTTCCTGATGTGCACTTCGAAAAGGAAAACGAAAACGGTTCAATGACAATGCATTCCAGACCACGGCTTTCAATAACCATGAGGAATACGAAAATGCTCAGACAAGTCGGATCAAGATTCGCCGGTTGTGACTAAATATTCGGTTCGAAAAGTCGTTGTTCATTTTTTTTGCAACAGCTGCAAATACACCCTCGTTTTAGACCCTAAAATGCATCTGCATTTGAGGATCTAAAACGAGGGTAGTTTGCAGTAAATTGATCTAAAACGAGGGTATTGTAACACTTCCTCGTTTTGAATCCTCAAATGCGCTTCGGTTAGCACTATAGTCTTTAGCGATTTGGGTTTTTATTTATTATTTCAGTTTATTCTGTTATTTCAGTTTTTTCAGGCATTTTAGATTTTCTAGGATGTTATATTAAGTTTTTTTAGACCTTACAGAATTCGAAGCATCAAATATTACTAAATTATTTCAAACTTTTTAAATGTTCAATTTTTCAACTTTGAATATTCTAACTTCAAACAATTTCTTTCTGTTTTTCAGGAGTTGGGATTCTGGAGCAGTTGAAGTTCATCTGATGTCTCTAAATCAGTTTGGTGCATTGTTATTGTTATATTTGATGTTTTTATATTTGATATAAACAGTATAATGGTTGTTGTTATATTTGATATCAACAGCATTATTGTTCAATGAACTATTGGTATCATCATCACATCGGTATTCAGTTCGTGCACATATGTATCACTGTTAATTACCAATAGAAGAATAAAATTCAATGATTAATTTGTAATTGAAATTTGTCGTCCAGCAAATGAACGATCTTGGGTGAGTGATAATAAAATTGCACACTATCATCAATTTTCGACTGAGTTGAATTAAATGTAAGGGTTTGGATAAACACGTATTGTCTATGAGGAGAACAAACATTGGGATTGATGTGTTGAGTGGATTTGTGAGAAAGATGTGAGTGATGCCTTCTTCAAATAATTACTTAATAAATACTTTGACAAATCTAGCGCACTAACATGTCATCGATTTGTTGACAATACAGAGTGGAACTGATGGGGGTGAGCAAATATGCTTGTAGGTATGTGTATGCATGACAATAATAAAATACAGAATTATATAATAAAGTTGATTTGAAATGAGGAAAAACAATGGTTTAGATAATGACAACGATAAATAGAAATATAATGATAAAAACATGAAAGACTGAATTGATAATGAGAATGAGAACTAACTTATTGCGCTGATATACTGTAAATTAAGTCGAAGCACAGAAATTTTATCAAGTTTACGCTTGTGTGTGGCAACGTCAGTAGCATAATTGGGTAGAAGTGAAATTAATTCCTCGATTAGATGATTCATACGGTCACGACGCCTCTTCTCGATTTCAGAATGATTATTTGTTGTGCTGCTGGTTGAGGGTCTTGATGAAGATGATTTGATCAGTTTCGCTGTTGTTGATATCGACAATGCGCATGGACGTGCACTTTTATCATGGTTATTGTTATTACGATTGCCATTCATCCATTCTTCTTCACAATAAATATCATCTTCGAGCTCATTTTCATCTTCATCAACATCATCATTATCATCTCTTAACACATAACTTTCGATTAATTGACAATTCTCACTCATTTTAGAATAAGATATGATAGAAGCTAAATGAAGACAACACATGTCGATGCTTGATAGTTTGATCGTGTTCATGACGTAAGGAACATAATTATTGCTTATTTAATATCGAAAAGCGCAACAAAACAAGCAAAAAAGATATCAGAGACACTAGCTGCGTAACGCATCGAATGTTTCATCATGTTGTGTCTATTTAGATATCTGGTTATCTACCGTTCAAATCTATCACAAAACCATCCTTATTATCTGCTTTAGTTTTACGTATTATTATAGTTCTATAGGATATAAAAGCTGTATCATAGGGAATGGTTCGATATTTTGGATATATACTCGGGATATTGAATTTATTCTATCTTCATCATTTCAAAACGTCAGTTTTTATGGCACCATCTTAGTCATTCGTACAGTCCTCAATGATCATTCAATGATGATGCATTCATTCGCATGAGTGTTTTGGTTGTATTGGCATGTTTGCTGATACATTCTTTAACCTAACTATAAAATCAGCTCAAGCATACTAGAATACGCATTTATTATTCGCCTTCATATAATCGGTACCTCCATCACCACATTTTATTCTATTTTATATAAATAAACATGTTTACTTATTTATTCATGTCGTCCAAGTGCGAATCCTATACAAATAGATATAAGCAAATCTCACTTTTCATTCATTCATTCATAAATAAACAAATAAATAAATAAATAAATTAATCAATTCATCCTTTTATGTTGCTTCGTATTGGTATTATTGTAGCGAAAATCGAAGCCTAACAATTAGGTAGTACCTTCATCGTATGATTACAAAGATCGATGGATAGATGGACTGATGAACAATATGCTTGTAAATAAAACGCTTGTGCCCATAAAGTGATGTTGTGGTCGAAAAACAATGGTTTGTGGTGTTCGTTGGTTACATGATCATTTGATATTGGATTTATTATAAGATGTTGATCGACGTTATGAATTAATGAACAATTATCGCATTACTATATCTAACATTGCATGTGGTTCTTTTTGGTGAATTGTTATCGTTAATGAGAACAGAAGTAACAGAGAATGTGTTTGTGAATGAATGTACAGAAATATGCTTTTGAAAAGAATAATACTGAGCTGAGAAAAGGGATAGCCGTTCCTGTTAGCTTTGATCATTGCCTTCTTCTCAGGCTAAATTTTATTTCCTATTCATACTTCGTATTGGTTACCTTCTCAGCAGTGATGAGTCAATCAATCACTAAGTTAAACAAACTCAACGCAACTCATCTCAACTAATCTAACCAAAAATGGTTTCCCATCCAATGCTGAACAGTTTGCAGTCAGATAGCTAGATGCGTTAGAGATCTTTCATTTGAATCATCCGATTGCTTCCACTTTTCAATTTCTTTACTTTTACTTCTTATTGTTACAACGTTACATGTTGATGTTTAAGTTAAGTTTTTTGTTGGGTTTAATATCATTATGCCAAATAAACCGACTTTACATGTTCCGGTAGTGTTGTATGTACATGATCTATTCGAATTACTTTTACATGAGAAAAGCATTTGTTCTCACAGTAAAATCCTATTACAGAATGCTAGTAGATAGGTAGCTGCTGATTGATTAAATCGGGGTTTCTCAATCAGGAGTGCGAGCGTGGTTGCGATGAGAGGAGATGAGTGAGGGATGCGGGAGGGGATGCGAGATATGGGTTTATTTCTCATACAGTAAAGTAAGCGATGACAGAGTTCAACGCTTACATGTGTGTAAAGTAGGCGACGATGGACTTTAACGTACGTTTTTGAAAAGGCCAGAACGTACTCTAAAGGTTTACACTTATCTATACTACAGACACTCACTGTAGTGGATGAGAGATACAGAATGGGTGTTGTGTGAGGTGCAAGGACAGTTCAAGTATTGTTTTCGCGGTGCGAGGACCACTTTAAATTTTTTAGGGGGTGCGGAGAGGAAAAAATTGAGAACCATTAGATGGATATTCCTTATACTGATCTACTTCGTCCTAGTAGGGAAAGTGCTACTACGGTGGCACCGCTATTTGAGTGGCGTTTACGCATTTAACGTAAGTGTACTTCTCAGATGGATGGATGATGCTTAGTGATGATAAACTTAAGAAGGTTAAGGACTACTGCTGAAAAAATGAGTGAAGAAACGAGGAAGAACAGTTTGTTGAATATTACAAATTCGATCATTTCTTACAATAATAACAAACGAATAAAGGAGTTTTGTTAATCGTTTTTATTGTAAGGTAGAGTAGAATAGGTAAATATAAAAACTGATAGAGTGTTGTACATTTGTCGTTAAGCTCAAAGACGGACTAGTTGAGACAAACTAAAGTTGATATTATTATTTCTACTACTGTTTTTGTTTGCATTCAGATATTTTCTGATGATGACTAACTAATTAAGCAATCTCTTCCTCTTTCTATCTCCTCATTGTATCAACTTTTAACCTCTGAATCTCTTTAAATTTTTATCTGAAGTAAGCAAATTTTGATTCGAATCTCCTCCCTCATCCACATTAACGTGACAACTTTCAAATGACAAATTCATATCGCTCCTTAATTTATGTTTCTGTTCCTTTTTCTTCTTCTCGTGTTTAATGAATTTTATCTCTCGAAATTTGGTCTATTTTAATATTAAGATTTCATTTACCATGTCAAGGAAGTTAGTTATATTAAGTGGATTATCCGTAGATAACGAATAATCTAACTTCTTAAAACTAATTAAAATTGAAAGACGTTAGGTCATTAAAAATACTATTATAGTTTATAAGTTGAAAGCGAAAAAAGAAATGTCTATTTCAGATACGAAATTTTGACACACAAATTTACTAAATTTTAAAGGCTTCTGCTTCGTCGATGTGATACCTGAACTATGTTTGTGCCGTTATTAAACATTTGAATTGTACGACGCTTTGAAAGGAATATAGCAATAAGCTATGTATAAAAGTGAATGTATATGCCTTGTGATGGTGATGGTTTGTTTTATGTTTGGTCGGTCTGTCGGCTGACCTCCGTTGCATTCATCTTTCAATGAGATGAGGGGGAGTGATCGGAGGTTAAAAGGAGGGAAGAGGTTGTTGGGCTTCTAATGCGGATGGATGGACGTTCGTTCTTTCTAGCTTGCTGCTCACTGAGCTAAACTCAAAATTGCTGTCTCTCTCGTAAAGGTCGATTGGTGATGATCATATATCGATATATCTTAATATCTCTATCTATCCATCTGTCTTTCTATTTATCTCATCGCATCATATTCTACCAGTTCGTCGTTGAATTGATAAACGAAAAATGAATGAATGGACAGCGACGCTAGTGGACAACGCTCCGCTGACCATTAGTGTGCACGTTTATAATACATAAATAAACCAACTTTATTTATTTGGATACGTTTCTCTATTGATACTAAACTATAAGGGTATTTTCTAAATTCTTGCTGTAACTATTCCAGTGTTTATCGCTTATAATGATTACATATTACATCTTTCGTAATATGGCCATTATTCATCTGCCTATGTGTACTACTTGTAAGTAGTTTATCATTACATTATATATTCACCTGTCAGTAGAAGTGTTGTGTTAAACCTTACAAAATTCATCATCAAGTATTTATCGTTTAATTCAGATTAGATTTTTAAGCGATTCGCATCACTTACGCATCTTCATATTTTATGAAAAATATTTGCATCTTTACGTATTCAAGGTGTACCCTTATAACTATACGTATATGGATACACCGTGAACTCATCATTCTGATAAAGCAGGATTTCTCAACCGGGGTGCTCGCACTATGGTATTGTGCGAGATGGTATTCCAGAAGGTGTGAGATAAGGTTTTATCTTTTGTACATTGAAGTAGACGAAGACAGAATTCAACATACACAGTAAGAGAGGGTGGACTTTAAGTTATGTACTTCTGAAAAGACTAGAAACGCGCTCTAATGGTATACACTTATCTACACTCACTGTAGTGGATGAGAGAACAGAGTGGATATTGTGACGGGTGCAAGGGCAGCTTAAAATTTTATAGGGGGTACGGAGAGAAAACACTCGCTTGTATAAGTTCATCGCTAACGCACAAACCGTACATCTCACTCATACCTTCAAATGAACATCATCAGTCGCCTTATCATTCATGAAATGAAAGCAAATCATTTATCCAAATGATCTATTTCGTTAGTTTTGAAGATTCATTCGGGACCATTGGTAGTTATGTCTTATACATAAATATTAGGTGCTCAGAAAGATAGGCCTTAATCCACCACTAACTTGAATGGGGCGATTATTCGCCGATTAAATGCATCCGAAATCTTTGAACACTCATCCAAAACGTGGTCATTCAAAATATTCTAGATATATTTTACGCTGTTCTTTCTATCTGATCTTATTAATCGTTTCATGCTCTACCTCAGTCTTCGAAGACTATTTTTTATCATTGGTTTCCATAAACAATTGCTTGTTGCTTTCTTCACGAGATTTTTACAATAAGCAGTAATTCTGATAAATGATGCTAGTTGTTCGAATTTCTTTTTCATTTTCCAACCTACCTGATGCCCGCTCACATATGTGCCGCCTAAGCTTGTTTGTTTTAACGAATTTTTTGTTAAAAGGAAAAATTTCTGATGAATATTTGATTCGAAGACTAAAGAAATGTATTATTTTAAAACCATTAATGATACTGTTCCAACACTTGGTTACATTTTGGTCGAAATCAAATGGTGTACCTCGTATATCATTATTGTTGTCGAGTCGGAGCTAGGCTATGATCTGATTTTTTTATAATTTTTAAACCGTTACAACTCATCACTATTGACGCAGACGTCTGAAGTAATCCCAAATTTATTTAGCGGTGATTTCATAATGTATTACTAAATTTCTGTGATATGCGATTAGTGTGCTACAATCATATGGAGAAACAAATAAAGGCTTTCATAAACAGACCTATCAGTACACGTCATTCATCGTAACTAAACGAATATCGCAGTTTTTCAAAAGTACAGCTTCGTCACTGATTTATTTATGCTATGAGTTGTATAGTGTATGAGCTAGTAAAATGATTCGTCACTTATTCATATATTAATAAAAAAGTGAAATGTTTAGAATAAAAGGTGTATGGAATAAAAATAAACAGTAAAATACTAAAATAGTGAAATAGTAAAATTATAATCAAATGAATTGTGTAGCATATGTAATACAAACTAAATGATTCGTCTATTTTGTTTTGTGTGTATATGTCATTTTCATAACTTCTGACAACAATAACTCCAACAACCGATTTGTTCTTTCTAAAATCTCATAGCTGTCTTTCTTATTGTCGTCGGCAAATTATAAACGTACACGCATAACTAAATCAATTTTTTGTGACAACTGTATCATTTAATTTTAGGGACGTGATTACGGTATGTTAGGGATACCGTTTCTTGATTCTTCATTTCTGCGAATTTTTTCACCAACCACTTACGATGACCGTATCGATCGACTCAATTATTTTGTCACGAGTTCAATGCTGACATTTTTCGCAATTCTCGTCTCGGCTAAACAGTAATCACTATTATTGTTTGATCGATTCAATTGTCCATTGATCTTATATCAATATTTTACTTATTTATCAAAAAAAAAGAATTTATTAACACACATTCATTCATTTATGTAAAATGGTCATGTTTTGATGAGTGGTCATTAAATGAAATATGAATAATCGCAGTATGCACTTAATGAAACGATAATTACTGATAGATACGTTGGTTCACCTATACAATGCTGGATGCCAATGGAATTCAAAGGTGGCTGGGAGCAATATGCCGAAGATTATTGTTTCATCCAGGTTCGGATTTTTCAACTATATTTTCATAAGTGAGTTCAATTTCAATTCGATAAATAAATGGGTGGTACCATTCCATAAAATTGATTCGTTTAAGCGATTATCAGAAATTAAATGATGATATCAGCTTGCTGTCGCTATCCACTTTGTCTAACGGAAAAGGTTCGGACTAGACTTCGCAACCTTTAAACTTAACATCATGCCTAACGTTAGCCTTACGCTAAAGCTCAAGACATATGTCTGTTCAAAACTATTCGATTTTGTTCCAGCCCTTTTCCATTACTTTTTTTTCAGAATACTTACTGGGTACATTTCGACAATCCGGTTCCCGAAGACGTTGGCGATCGACGGAGTGCCGAAATTGGCTATTATCAGTGGGTACCGATCGTTTTGGCCCTACAAGCACTCATGTTCTTTATTCCGTCGTGGATATGGAGAACGCTTCATAAACAGTCTGGTCCGTACATTTTAAAATTTTATCTTTCTAATTTAAATGAGTACAGATAATATGCAAATATGTACAATTTACAAAATAGGCTACGTTTCATAGTATTGCGTGAAGACATTTGTGCAATAACATACCTTAGTAATCATAATAATAGAAATAGTCATATATAATCAAACGAATAAGAAGCGAATAGAATGAATGAATTTAAGCGAATAGAATGAATGAATTTGGGGATGAAAGAATGCAATTTGAAGGAATTGATTTGGACACAATTGTAAAAGAGGCAAAAAGCATGCGTGGAGCACGATTGAATGATCGTCAAAATGAAGTGAAAAAATTGGCAAACTTTGTTGCTGAAAGTCTTGAGATTGCCAATCCTCGACCTCGTTATCACTTCTTATGCTTGAATTTTGGACAATCACTTGGCTCTTATGTGTCCATTCTGTACATCTTCGTCAAACTGTTATACGTCGTGAATATTCTTACACAATTTGTGATTCTCAACAATTTCCTTGGCACAGATTATAGTTTATGGGGTTTCCAGGTGCGTTGGTTTTTGTTTCTTATTGTTATTTTTCATATCATGAAGTTTGTTTCAGTTTCCTACTGGATCATGGTTATCTTTTACATATGTTATTTCAGACACTACGCGATCTATGGCAAGGTCGTGAATGGCTTGATTCAGGTGTGTTCCCACGTGTGACAATGTGCGATTTTAAAGTGCGTCGATTAGCGAATATTCATCGTTATTCAGTGCAATGCGTTCTTATGATCAATATGTTCAACGAAAAAATTTATCTCTTCATTTGGTTCGTTTTCCGTTCCGAGGAACCGTCTTTTGTTTATTCTGTTGCGCGAATGTTCACAAATGGACAGTTGACTTCACATTTGAGACGAACATAGTTCTTTGAATTTAAAGATTCATTCGATCCTATTAATACTCTACCTTTACGTGCGAATAATTTATCTTACTCGTTCATCATCATAATCGAGCCCTGTAAAACCTTTTGGATATCTGATTACTTCAGGTTCTGGTTTCTGTTTGTCGCGATATCAACAATCATGAATTTCTTGTACTGCTTCGGAACAATGATCCTTTCAACTTATCGTGAAAAAACGGCTGCTGTTTTATTATCTGCTTACAAAATGGAAGAGAATAGCCGTATCGATAGGTCAATTATGCGTCGTTTTGTTCATAATGGTCTAAGACCAGGTCAGTGATTTCAATGAAGACATCACCATTTCAAAAAACAATTTAGTAATGTTGCTATATAGATGGTTGATTTATGTTCGTAAATGATTTATTAATTAATCTAGATGGAATCTTATTGCTTCGTTTCGTTGATCAACATGCGGGTGGTATGGCTGCCCGAGATCTGTGTGCTCAATTATTTCATGATTTTTTTCTGCTGCGTGAACCGCAATATCAGCAACGCTCTGGCGATGGTCAAACAACAAAAAGCACATCACCAGGAATTGATGAGGGCTTCACTGAGACTCCCTACAATTCCGACAAGGTATCATCTTAATGCATCACTTAATGCGGGGTTTATCAACCGGGCTGCAAGATAAGCTGTTATTTTCTATACATTAAAGTAGACGAGAACAGACTTCAACACATACATGTATGTGAAGTAAACCAGGATGGTTTAACGTATATATTTTTGAAAGGAAAGAACACATCCTAATGCTATACACTTATCTACACTAGAGACACTCACCGTGGATATTGTGAGGGGTGCGAGGACTTGTCAACTATTGTTGTAGGGGGTGCGGGGACATCTTAAAATTTCCGACGGGGTGTGATGGGGGAAAGATTGAGAACCACTAACTTAATACTACTTGCTTTCTTATTGTTACGTTAGATTATTCAACAAATTTCTCAAACTTTCTTGCTGTTATCGTTTCCGGTTACTATTAAACTTCAGCATAGAATCCTTCGTCAAACTGTTATCATTACTCTCAAGATGGCTGGCTCCGTTGTTTTGCTGCTCATCTTCAACTAATTTGTTTCTAAAATTACAGCTCCTCGTACATTCTGAATGATATCTCCGATCAAAAAAATTTTTTTCAGTTGAGTGCCCCACTAATGCAACCTGATTATGTGGGACCACCGAAATCGAAACAAATTTGAAGTTAGAACGTTGTTCATCAAATGATCTCTTTCTCCTCTCTGAAGATAACTTTTTTGTTAACTCACTCACTGCGTGAAAACAAAACGAATGAAAGAAATGTTGAAGTTATCAGGCAACTATATCGTCATGATTCACTCAACTGCATGTGTTCATCTCATTCATAGTGAAAATCCACTTAATATCATCATGTATGTACTGTTTATGAAGGTTTTTTATTCACAACATATCGTTTGAACAGTGACTGCAATCACTCATTATGTTTTCATTCTGCATACGAAGGCATCAAATAATTCTAATTACTATTTGATTATTGTCATTTTCAGTTATTATGTGCATTTATATATTTGATCAAGATTTTGCTTCAAAAGTTTTTTGCTCTTTTTATTTTCAATAAATAAACCAAAGAAGATTCGTAAGATAAAGCTGAAAGTAAGTGGGTGTGTATCCATCCCATCTTTTCGATTAGCTATCACTCGCATCATCATTATCAGATCAGATCCAATATCGAGAAATGCATGCATATTACTTACGAGTAACATCTACTTATATTTATCGTTGTTTTTTTATGTTCTAATATGATATCTGTAATATTACGCGTTTAATTCATTCTGTTTTGCCTTTATTATTATTATTATTATTACTATAGTCTGAAGAAATAGAACTGCATTTTCAATGACTCCTTCCCTGTTGCACTTTGCGTTAATGTTTTTAATAGCAATCTTATTCGCTTAATCCGTTATTTTCTATTCGCATTGTACATATCAGTCATTCTTGTTAAAAAGTTCACTTCATTGCGATTGATTCCGATCCTTGATTATCACTGTCCTTTTTACGATTATTTTACTAATTACTATTACCATTATTACGATTATTTTTGTTGATTTCATTTCTCTGGAATTAAGAAATTATTTCGTCTTCACTGTCTCTATGAATGGTGCTGCTCCCTTCCTTATCTCTGTTCCATTTTGTTCGTTTTATTTTATCACGTACTGTTCGGTTAACTCCATTCATCTTCGCACGAAAGAAAACACAAATGCCAATGAAACAAAACGAACGTTTCACGTAAATTCCAACTATTAAAATATTGCAACGACTAATATAATCGCCTGTTGCTGCCCTACCGTGAAAAAGCAACTCGATCATGCAAAGCTTTCTGTCCATACGCCAACATTTAAAAGGCTTCGTTTTTAAGTCATTCTCCCTTTATGTCTTTCCTACTCTTCACTTTATCAAGTGCTTACTTAATTGTTCGCTTCGTTTGTTTGTTAATTCATTTATGCAATTACTTCATACCATCAATTTTCATTTTTCAAATAACATTTCGAATAGCTATCATACAGAAATGAACAAATGTCGTGTCTCTCAATAACATGATTTTATATTTTTTCCACCAATAAAGGAATGTTGCTATTGCACGCAAAGTGATAATATAAATAAGTGTAACTCAAATGTCTTTTGCTCATTTGAAGCATGACATATCTAAATTGATTATTATCATTATATGTATATAAATAGGTTCTGATACTTGTTTTATAATTATTCTCACTGTGTTTACGGTGAATAATGATTTTGTTCAGTATAATAAATTGAGAAATGTAGATTAGACTATGGAATTGGATATAAATGATTCCAGAAGGCTTACATCTGATCAAGAGGAGATTCGATGGATTAAGAAAACTAAACCAATCGAGAAGATTAAAGAAGGACTAAGGAAGCAGCGCTCAGTGACAAGACCATAATGGATAAAGAGGAATTGTGATCAGTAATAGTGCTAAGAAAAGAGATCAATGAAATAATTGTTCTCCAAAAAATCAGTTCGAATATGAGCATCAGTGCAACGACGCAGGATTTAAACTAGCGAAAGGAAAAAAAACAGCATCGCAAATGAACACCATCATTGCTTCGAACACATATAATATTTTTTCAATGAATTTTCATTTTTTTGCTAAATCAGTTGATTCGATACAAGACTGATTGATTGATTCATTTAGCGTTTGTGTGTTTGCTGTTCCAATGGTGAATTTTTCATAATGATCACGTTAAGTTTCAAAAGAATAAAAAATCAATCATTCACTCACGATGGTAACTTGCTGTCGAGGATCGATGATGAAGTGTCGGCATTAGATGATTCTGAGTTCATTCTTTCGTCAAGGAAGTTCTTTGATAAGAAATCAAATGAAATGAATGTGCAAAGGACGAGATAAATATGTCCTCTTTCAGTACATTTGTTGATTCGTTCAGATTCAGTGGAGTTACTCTTGGATTTGTTGATCCAAGAAAACGAATAACTTGATTTTGGTAGAAAGAATTAGTGAAAATTAAATCGATTATTATTCCTGCAGAGCAGACAAACGGGTAGGTGGTGTTGGCGGAATAATTGGTAGAGAGCTAAACGAATGGTTGGTTCAGTAGAATAATCCGTTGAAATCTGATGATGAGATGAAAAAAAAGTGAAGAAAAAAATCGCAACTAATCAGTCAATCCTGTTGAAGAAAAATATTAAGTGAATGATTGAATGGTGGTGGAGTGCAGAATGAAAGAACGCAAGAAACGCTCAATGGAAATGAAGCAGAATAAATAGCAGTAGCAGTACTAATAACAAATAATAATAATAAGAAAAAACCAACAAAATGAAATGTGAATCCGGTTGGTTGGTGCTGTATTAGCATACGTTGTTGTCACGTTATTGCTCTTGCCATACCAAAAGAAGTTATTATAGTACAGCGGCAGTTCGTTAATCATTAATGTCAACTCTAAACGAACCCTAACTCTTTTCTTCTTTCCTGCATCATGAATGCCCATAAACAGGCCCTATCCATCCATCTGTATCTAGCTAGTCGTAAGCAATCAAACAACCAGTTTTCTGACTCATCATTCAACATTTACATGTCCCTTGTACTAACTACTACCTGCCTGTTTTGGCAAGCGTCAATTTTTTTGGCGAATATTTCATGAAAAAAACCGCTTATGCGACATTACATAAGAATATTATTGAACTAACAAGAACGTATAATACAGCTGCGAATTGAACTGTGCCACGCCTCAAATACATTTTAAGCACATATTAAATATACTCAGAACAGTATGATGAATTCGACTTCAAACAATCCCGCTGAAGTCATCTTAAATGAACGCTGACTGCTATTCAATTTACGAACAAGTCAAAATATGCTGATGACAGTAATAATAACATTTATTGTAATAGTTAAATACTAATTGTAGTAGTGAAATAGCATACATGTTGCTATTCTACAAGGAAATTTTGTGCGATGGATAAAGAACGGCTATGATAAGAAAAGTCGCTGTTTATTTTGATAATTCTGTTTGCTTGAGAAGGAAAGTTTTTCGTTCAATGAAAAGTAATAATTCTTAAATGTAGATTGTATCATTGCATGATTCGAGTTCAGTTTAATTGATACACTGTGAGCGTTTTAATAAACAGTTACTTACTGAATGTTCAATTTTCGCTGCATCCCTCTCATTTTTGTCCATCATTTTTCGCTGAAGAAAGTTTGAAGTAATTCAAACTGATGCGAACGAATTGAAGAAGAGTTTTGCAATTGAAGTAATTGAAGAAGTTTTACAGTTTGCAATTGAACTCACTCAGGTGATCAATTAATGTGATTAATTAGTGTTGTTATTGTTTGATGATCGATTACTGGTATTGTATTATTGTTAACGATTAATTAGCGTTAGTAATTGATGTTTGTTCTCTTGTTCTTGCTCTCAGTCATTGATAGACCTAATAGTTCGCTAAGAAGTCGATTTTGTGTGCATGCTTCAAATGAGTGCCTCTTCTCTATAAGAGTTTTAACGAATTTACTTTTCGAATGCGATCATCATTTGCTGTGAAACGATTCTCAAGCAAAGTGACTACGTTTCTTGGCAGCAAAAGTCATCGATCAAAGCACAAATTATCATCATCTCCTCTGCGCCATCAACTAGTGTCTCACTCCAATCCGACAAGTTCAGCGCCGAAATTTTCTTCTTCTTCTCCTAACGCTTCCACTATCATTGTTGCTACAAGAACAATGTATTCCACCACACTACGAAATGTCAGTTCAGAAGCAGTCGCCGACTTCCGTTCAGACACTGTTACCAAGTAGGTAATTTGATCATGGCAATGTCCTTTTCAATAGTTTCGACTTTCGATTATCACGCTAAATCTCAGTTGACTACGGTACAGCACAAACAAATTTTAGACCATGCCAAGCAATGCGCGAAGCGATGTGCAATGCAGTGGTAGGCGATGATGTCTATCAAGAAGATCCGACAATAAATCGTACATTTTTGCATTCGTTTAGTCTTAATCCTTCATGAAATCTGATCATTTAATGTCCATGTACATTAGGGCGAAAAAATTCTTCGAATTTTCGAATTCTCAAGATCTCACATCTTTAAGAATATGTCTGTTGGTGTGGAAACGACAAATGCGAATTCTCTTTGAAAATAACTAATGTGAAAGTTCGAGAAGAGGAGAGAGCTGAATCAGTTTTTTGCCTTGGAATCTAACCAGTACGTGATTATGGAGATGGCACTGCTCAGCCTTTCATGAGCTGGGACTCACATTTTTCAGAGTTTTATTTTTATTTTTTCAGAGTTTTTTCAGAGTTTTCAAAAATTTGTCACCCTACTATGAATACTTTGTTTGTTCGTTCATTTCTTTGTATACATACATAAATATATACCTAGAATTGGAAGAAAAATGTGCGAAATTGTTCGGAAAAGAAGCCGCACTATTCGTTGCTACTGGCACGATGGGAAATCTTCTTTCAATATTGGCGCATACAGAACGAGGCGATGAAATAATCGTTGGAAGAACGGTTGCTTATCACATAAAATTGCATTCATTTAAATGTGCTGCCCTAAAGTGACTGATGCGTACTTTGTTATTTCCTGAAAAATGGAATCTGAGAAGAAAATGTTTCAAGTTGATCAACTGGAGTAGTGCTTTTCAACGTAGGCAACATCTACCATCAATGTGCAGAAAGCATATGAAAAGGGTGCAGTTTTATTGCAAGCACAACAAACTTTTCAAAATTGTCCCGCAAGGTTCTCTCTTCTGTCTTGAAAGTATTTATTAAATATTGTTGCATCTGGAAAGAGAGGCGGATATTTGACTGCGATTTCAGCCCAAATGGGCGATTGATCGAAAAAGATTGAATGTCATTGAACTGCAGATGAATACTATTCACTGACAATGAGTGGAGAATTCTATGTGAACGTCAAGATAGATTTCAGTCTCATCTTCATCGATGGGAACAAGGCAATTATGCCCGTCTGGCTGGTGTTTCAGCCACTACTGTTCCGGTTTTAGAAGGTTGTTCTTTAATAATTGTTCTTTTCATTTCTCAAAGAAGTGAGTTGAACAAGTTCTTTATTTAGATGGTACCATAGCACTGAATGAAATTGAACTAGCGATACGAGTTGATGATATACATATGCCGCGAACAAGGTTGATCTGCATCGAAAATACACACAATTATGCCGGTGGTAAAACCATATCATTGGACTATATGAAAGAGGTTGGCTTTATCTGTATTGCTAGCGGTTTAAAATAGAATTCGCATACTGCGTTCAGGGTTTTGCAATTATTCCATATAATTCTTCGAGAAATTTTAAATCTGCTTACATCGTTTTGCTTGTAATAATGATAGTAATATTGAAGGTTCGAAAATTAGCCGACGAACACAACTTGTTGGTGCATGTTGATGGTGCTCGTTTTTATAATGCAGCATTTGATTTGGGTATTTCAATGGCTGAATTAGCGCAGCCGGCCGATAGCGTTATGATGTGCTTCTCAAAGGTATTTTTACTTGATAGCAAAGGATAATCCAAATAAGTGATCAATTCAGTTGCGCTTATAGAGTGATCAGTGATCGTTATGCAATAAAAATGAATGTAAATAGTTCATATTTTAGGGATTGGGTGCACCAATTGGCTCAATTATTGTTGGGAAAGCAGATTTCATTAGCAGGTTAATAAATGTGAAACATTATTGGCTGGTTGAGGCCGGATTAATGTTGTTTTTCATATTTTTAGCATTCCATAGGTGATTTATATCTGTGAATGAGTATCAGTCGAAACAACTCATCTTTCGAATGTTAATATGACGAAATAATGATTCCACAAATACTAGATGTCGAAGACACCGAAAGTCATTAGGAGGTGGATGGCGTCAGGGAGGTATACTAGCTGCTGCTGCAGAATTTGCGTTAAAAAATGCGAATGAAACGATTAAAAATGACTTCGAAAATGCTAGTTATCTGTGCAAATGTATGCATCAGTTAAATGTCATACTTTCATATTCTGTATTCATGCATTTACCTACTTCTTCCTGATCATTCATAGAGACAACCATATCGTCTGAAAACACCAAAACAATACAAATTTCTGCTCTCATTTGCCATTTCAATTTCAAGTGTTGGATGTATTTTGAAGAAAAACCAACGACTTCCGTATATTCGTCTGTTATCCAATCGCTGTTAATCTTCATTGCATTTATCATTTCGTTCTTCTTGAAAATGGTCAGATTTTAGCGTTAAATGATGCCACTCCGTTAGAGAAGCGCTCTGTTTTATTTGCACAATCAGCCACCAATATGGTGTTGCTTAGTACACTACCACCGTTCTGTCCCAATCAAATCGCTAGAATGCTGAAGGTAAGAGTTGATTGCAAGTTTAGCAATGATATGAAATAATTTTCAGGTGGAAACAGAAATGATCGATGTGAAACTAACTTTTATTCATAAAACGATAACTATGTAGCGAAAATGATGTGATAAAAGTAATAATCATACTGATAACAGTGCAAACTTACTATTAGATTCAATCAAATCATATTGAATTATCGCGATTGGACAACAATCAATAATATCAGTTAAATATAGGACAAAATAGTTTTTCATTCGGTTGATCACATATATTCTAGTTCCATTTCACAGCAACATTCAGTCACAGAATATTGCGTAGAAGTACTAAGAAAGGTCGCTTATTGATGAATGAAAATAATTGTTCTGTTTTCAATTTGATAATCAGCAGCTAATAATTCAAAAGGTATGCATTTGAGCACTGTGGCTGATGAATGTTGTGAAGAAGAAGAAAATTTGCAGTTTTGAAGATATTTAATTGATTATTTGAAGTTAAATTCATTTGAAAATAATGAGATTTTCACAAAGTTTTCTGGAAAAGTCACTAGAAAAAATAGATTGTGAGCGCTTTCCTTTAACGTTTTAACCAAAGTTTGCGACCCAGAAAGAAATTCATTGAATGGGAGAGAACCGTGGATTTTCGACTGTTACTATTACTAAGATAGTTTTCAATTCTAGGAAAAAGGTGTACTAGTGATGCCAATCGATGAGAAGCGCATTCGTATTGTATTGAATAATGGTGTTGGCAAAGAAGAAATTGATAAGTTGGTATCGATCTACAGTGAATATGTAAAATCATCCAGCAATTGAACTGATGCTTCTGGATCATCTGATGTTTCCTTCCTGTTGTGCGACCGAATAAATTGACTGAATAAATTCGTTATTATACCTTACTCTTCGAATGTACAAAGCAGTGGTGAAACATTAGCGCAAACAAACTGCTATGAATTGTGACGATTATCGTTCGGAGAATGCTTATGTGTTTATATTGACCACGATACAACTCTCTGCATATTGTTCGCAAGAATTGACGAATGGCGTCATTACTCGCTTATTCTAGCCACAAAAATCTCCTGGTGTCGTCTTCATCTTCCGCTGCGCTCTCGTCACCTTCAGCGTCATTCCAACTTTCAACGTACGGTTCAATGAAGTTGCGTTTTAAGGACTTGGAATAATGCTGATAATTCGGTGCTGTAAGTGAACGAATGAATGAAAATGATACTGATTTAACACTGCATTACCTTGACTAGATGGAAGCTGGAAAAGTTCTGTTTTCATAGTAGCAGGTCTGAAACAACGACTTTTTGTTCCTTCATGAGTTTTTTGTTTTTCAAAATGAGAGGAATCAAAATACATGAAATTGTAAAAAGACGTGATATTTTTAATCATGTTCTTAAGATACTAATTTAATCAACAATCACTGAAAGTGCTGGTCAGTTGTACGAATGAATTCACTAACCTGGGAATGTATCGGATTGAGATCGTTTACCGAATCGCATACCCTGATGACAACCGATGCACTCGCAGCATGCTCTGCTCATTCCTTAACCAAAAACAATTTTGCTAGGACGAATGATTGAAATTTTGGAGCATTTTCAAAATCACTGCCACGAATGTAATATTTGGAATGTGTCGACTTTATCTGAGCACCACTATTAAACATAGCGGCTCTTAAGTTGCTTTACCTGAACGAGTATGATCAAACTAATTGCCATTTTCAAATGAGTTGTTTGTTTGGAATACCGCTGAGATACTGCTTGGAGTTCAAAAAATACTGCTGAAATGTTTATCAATAGAGCATTGAAGAGTTCATAACAAAATTGCAATGTTGACGTCCCAATGCTAGAAAAACGTTTTGGTAAGATAACTTAAAGGCATAAAATGAAAAGGAATAGTAACAATAATAAAAATTGTAATAGATTCCAAACCTTCAGCGCAGATCAAATGGCATTGCTTAACACGATCCACTCGAGCATCAACAAAAATTAAGTAGCACAGTAGCACTTCGATGAAATATTCTGTGCGCAGAGTCATCTTATTTTATGTGATAATGGTGATTGTGATTATGGATTAGTTGTATTGTTTTGGTTATAAAATATATTGACTGCAATACAAATCAGTTAACTGCATCGATTTGCGGCAGTGATGATGATCAGACGTGGTATGTTTTAGTAACAATTCTTCTAAAATTCATATACCTTAATAGTAGTAACATCAATAATAATTGCGATGGAAGAAAACAGATATCGGATTCAACGATTTTAATGCGAGGATCAACTTAGCGACCGTATTGCAGGCGTGCGTTTATCTATCTGTGTCCATTCCAGATTTGCGGGGTAAAGTTTAATTCGAACTTTTTTTTCTTTGAAACCTGTCAAATCTAAATTTCTTTGAAACCTGTCAGAAAATGTGTTGAAAAGGACACTGAATAAATTAGGTGAATGAAAGTGGTTAAATTGTTGTTGGTTTCAGCAAATTAACGTCGTTGTTTTTAGCAATTATCGAAGCGGGCGATTAAGAATAGAGAGTTGAAAAATAGGAGAAGATGATTATCACTTCGGAAGTTTTTTCGTACAATCCAAGAAAATCATTTCGAGTGACGCTGATTTTGATTACATTCAGTCAAAAGTTCGGTCGTTTCGTTCGAACCAAATGATATTTTCATATGCATAGATGCATTTACTTTGAAGAATCACCTGATTTATTATTTACATTTTCCCCTCACAAGATTACACACAATGAACATTCACTGATTCCTTTAACTTACTTAAATCCTATCAGTGCACCATTTCGCATCACTATGTAATTTCAATCTGTACCCCAACTGTGAAGAGCTCATAAGAAATTCCTACTAATTGCTTCAACTTCTCCTTACAATATCCTCATCGTAAGCTCTGAAAATAGTTAATAATTTATAGTGATTCGGTTATATATTTCGTATATTAAATAACGTTGAGCAACAGGTTTGAATGAGTTAAAAGTTCTGTTAAATAAGTAAGATTCATTATACGCTCAGACTAATAAGAACTACCAAGAGCACTTATCAACAATATCCACTGATTGAGACACTCGAATTCATCAATATTATTGTTATTATCATTATCATCACAAATTCATGCATTTGTTTGGCTTACTTATTCTTTAAGTATTCATGAATTATTCGTCACCCTTTCTTTTATTTCCTTTTATTTGTTTTTTTTCTTTTGACGCTGATCAATGAATTCTTCAAGACTGATTTCCGACTGCTGTAATGATCGATCGACTGAGCATCATTTTCACACAATTTTTCCGCTTTCATGCATCGAAGATTCTTTTCGTTTCGAGCTCAATTCAAGCTGAAAATTCAATTGGAACACTCGAATACAAACAAATTCATTCATTCATCCTTTCATTCATGCTCTTCATTTTAATCGTTAGCTACCTGTAGCGATGGTCCATCGACCTACCTACCCTATTTCATCATATAATGTATTATGTCATAATCATATTTTTCTCAAGATTATTATTCCATCTTATGATCAATCATTTTCATTAGATATGATCTACCGTCGTTATCTCATATCATTTTGAGATTGTTCGGTTTCTTTCTTAATGAGTGATTTCTCGCAAGCAAAATTTTAAAACTCTTTCTGAAGTTTCGCTTTTCGAGAAAGCAGTCAGTATGGAAGGACTCAAACAATCGCAATATGATGCGAGGAATCAACTTAACTCGTTTCAGTTGCATTTGAATTCCACTCATGAGAATATGAATTGATCGTTGTCTGGCGATTTTAAAATTTTATTCTGAAAGGATAAAATGAAGCAATCCATAAGAGGGTCTTTTAAAATTAAACGACTTTATTCACTAATTATTAATACATGAATTACTTGTGTGTTTATGCTGTAATGGGATTAATTTGCTTGATGAAGCTGATTATTCATTTGTTGTTTAGGTGATTGAAAAGACCGCTGAATAATTTTGAAACTAATGCTTTCTAATTGCCGTAATTTCGGATAGAATTTCAAAATTCGGAAGTTCAGCAAGGTAAAGGAAGGATTTTTTTCATGGATGATTAAATGTACATGCATGATCGTTCGTGCACTCGCAAATCTAGCCACTGATTAAGTTTATCTTCATTCGATTCTATTCCAGTGATTGATTCATCTTCTTGTCATTAAAATCGCTCACCATTGTTGCATTCATTCTCTCAGTCATACAGTTTTCTCCTTCAGCTCTTGTTAACTCTTTCCTTTTACTTGAATAATAATGATTCTTGGGTTTAGAAATATTCATTTCAAATGAACCCTTTTATTCATCATCTAGTATGTTTTATTTTGTCAGAAGCATATTTAACTGCGCATTTCAGCAAATTTATTTACTTCGGTCCGATTCTTGTGATATTGATACAGGTTGAGAAAAATTAGCCATGAACTGAATGATAGAACTGAATAATTCATAACTTTTGCATATTAATCGTTTCAATCTTGACTACATTCTAATCCTTGTATCTCACAACGTCGTCTTCTTTCACTGCGCTTTTCTTAGAGAACTATCATGTATTTTCACTTATAAACGGATGCATTACTTCAGCAGTCTTTTTAGCCGTTATAAATCAATGATAATTTGTCGGGACGTTTTGTGGGGATTGAGGAGCACTTAGCATGGATTTACACAGGCCCGTACACTGTACAGAACATGCACTTACATCATTTGCCCTATTCTTCGCAAACAGACGGTCCTCGAGGGAAATCAAGAGTTTCCCACCCATCCTTACTAAACATTCTTCATGAAGGAAATCATAATTTCATAACGAAAATGGCAATCTGAAAATGATCACAACTCACGGCTTATGTAGAAGAGAGACAATGCAGTATGTCGCATCGATGCTTATAAAGAAATGCAATGAAAAAAAACGTAAACCTACGCAAGATGACTAGAGTAGAGGTATAATTATTTCAATGCATTTAAATCTAACTCAAAGAATGATTGACATACCGCTGTTTTACCGCAAAAACTAGCGGAATGTCGCATCAAAAGACTCACCTCCCGCAAAACAGCCAATTTGCTGCCGCTATGAAAGATTATCAACTGCGTAAAATTTCAGCCTGGTGCTCCTTAAGGACTAGCGCAATGGATCATTTGAGTGTTATTCGCTCGGAACCGAACGTTTCATGGTTGTAAGTCATTCATTGTTGCCCAATTACCTTCGGTTCCACAAAATGTTATCTGTGATCGATAACGACTAAAAGAAAATGAAGTTCTTTCCCATCTCATGTGTATCTTTCTCCATCTCACGTTTAACCCACAAAACATTTTTCCCATTGAATTCCCATATTCATGGAACAACTCTTTTTGCTCGATAGTTCATAATGACTTCGTTTACCAGTTTCAAGTTACGGTCAGTTGTGATTCTCCATTCAGAGCTGGTGTGAGCACCTGAAGTCGGGCAATCGTTTCAGTGCTATTAATTGAACTCGGCAACAACTTTTTATCCCAACTACCAACTACTGACAGCGCTTGGCAATATTCTTTTAACCCACAAGACGTTTCTATCACAACCTTTCCTTGTGGCGATTTATTGATGCGTGATATCAACAGGGAGAATTGAGCAAAAAAGGTTGAATACCGCTGCTCTAAATCGATTGATGGGTTTTTTGGAATGATTTAAACTGGGAAAAGATTTCTGTTACAGTTAGGTCTTCCTCATTTCTTTCGTATTATGTGTATATGAAAATACTAATTGTAAGTGAAATTGCGTAGTTTTTTCAGTTCATTGCATTATAATTTTTCATCATCTAGTTCAGTTCTTCATATCCAACCAGTTGAACCAATCGGAATCGAGCTAATCCAAACGTCAGCGATAAAAGTTGCTTATTCAGTTGCAATATCTTCAGATGATGAAAAACTATTAGCACCACCGTCGCTGAGAAGTGGTGATACGTCCGGCCGATTCTGTCAACTATAGACAAAAATTACCAGCTGGGAGCGAAGAGGATGCAAACAGTGACTTGAACAGCACATTACGTCGACTACTTGCTCGATTCTCATACAAATACATTTAACGCTAATTTGATATCAAATACACATGAGCGTCGATTGTGATTCAATTTGATTTGATTTGGTATGTACTGCTTTCGTTGAAAAAACCAAATCAAGTTAAGCAGCATGCATCAATGAGCAGTGTTTCTGCTGTGGTTGTTATTTTTATTCGGTCAGTTGTCATCCATTTCATGAAACTATCATTTCTGCACTGATGCTTTTGTTGAAGATGTTGTGTAAAATGTTGTTGATTGGACAAAATCTTGGAAAGTTTACAAAAAAATTTGATGACTGATAGTGAGAAGGAATGGCAAGAAAATGATTTAAAAGATTATTAATATCAGATAATAGTGATCATAATAATAGTGATAGCAATATCATAAAGTGAATCAGATTGATTGCCACTTGCTAATTACAACTCTGAACTTGTAAATCCGCACAAATTGGTTGAGCACATTCACGACTTCTAACACGAGCCCGTTCGCCAGCAACACCAAACTCACAGTCACTCCACTCACTCCATTCAACGACTGCTCGCGATATTGTTCTTGCTGAAGAGAAAAATCGACTGAATGAATTATTGGCCGATTGATTGATTTATCTTAAATTATTGTGACTTATCGGTTTGATCAATATTATTCGAAATATGGCACTTATAATGATATCTCAGTTTAAGTTATTATGATCTTGTTCATAATAATCACATTCAAAAAGTTATAATGTTATGTACATAAGAATATTAGAAGTTATTTATCGCTGTTTCCTTCTGTTTTTAATTGACTTACGACTAGTATTGCCAGTCATGTTAATTATATCATATTCTACAATACTAATTATTTCTCATAATGAGTCATATCCTTTATTAGTAATTAATTCTATTTAATCATTAGTATAGCATAATGCTTATTTGTTGTGATATGTTTTTGATTTATTTCGTTTGCTGTTCATTGTGCCCATTATTTATTCATTATCAATTCAATTCGAATTCTAAAAGCCGGAATTTTCGTTTCACAGGAAAACTTTCTGATCGAGAAGAAATGGAATGATATTCCATAAATCTAAACGTACTTGCACGGTCACAGCCATTTTCAATGACCACCGTACTGCCAGCACGATCAGCGGAACCTTCAGTTTCCAGCATCAGTCTCGGATCGTGCTCTGGTGTCACATCGTGCAGTAAACATAATCCATTATTTTGTTTATAAGTGACCGACTGAAAAAGAATTCATCAGATCACTTCAAAAGGGGTAATAATAATAAATGTAATAATAATAATAATAATAACAATAATAATAACCAAAATAATGATAATAACAATAATAATAATGACAGTGGTATGAGTCAGAATAATATTGATAGTGACGTTGAAAATAAAAACAAGAAGTGATCATATTTGAAAATGTTATTGAGGCAGAACTCAAAACCTGGCAGTGTGGATAATTGACACAAATCGAAATGCAATGTGCAACTGAAAGCGTATTTCTGGAGTGATCAATTATGTGACTGTGAATCTGTCGATTCAGATGAACTCGAAAGACGCTCTCCTCAGCACATATTCTTTTTAAATATGAAGCAACTGAAAGAATTTGGAGTATTTACAATGTATGTTAAATTGTTATATAATAACAACACACTGTTGTTCATCAAAATGACCTGAGATGCAAAATTTGTCGAGTAATAATGATTGATTATCACGCTGGAGATGTGTCATGCTATCGCTTGTTTTCGCATTCCATCCATACAATTCACATTCTTCAGTGATTCGATTGTAATTCGTCGAATAGCACGACGTTGGATTACCATTTGCATTCTTAAAGAAATAGACAGACATATCACTTGCCTTGTCGTATCAATGGAATGGAGCTATGCAGTTAACTTTATTAATTTTGTTTGAAACATACGATGTTCTGTGTACAATATGCAGCGCACATGGCTTGTTCAATACCGTTTAAACGACTCGATTCAGCGCTTGTACTAACTTTAAAGCCATCCACCAAAAAGTAACCAATCACTTCATTCTCAGCTGAACACCTATCTGAAAGATCAGTTCAAATGGACCTATGTAAGACGTTGGATAGCTTCTTCTTATCAGTATCATCTCTTCATCTTTCATGACAATTAACTAGTAGTGAAAGTACCTACCATATCTAGAATTTTGGTTTAGAAATGCTTCAGTTTGAATGTACGACCGAGTGGCAGCATATGCGATCGTAGACGATTGTTGATCGTGACGAACCCGTACAGAGGTTGCAGCGAAAGAGTTATCGTGCTCGTTAGCAAATAAGACTTTTTGGGAGGAAGAAAAAAAGGTTGTCAATGGATCAGAACTGTTCTGGATTAGAACGGATCCAAAACTGGAAGGTTCTCGTTGAGTTTTAGTGATGCTTTGGATTGATCGATGATTGCTGACATGTTTTGGCTGTTGCTTTCTATCCCTGTGATAACCATCTTTTGCTTCTAAAAAGTTAAACAACTCTGAATAGCTGCAAGACTCCAACTGAAGCATCACTAAAAATGAACGCACGTTGTCGATCCTGACAGATGTCACTGAAACTCGTTCTGTTGTAATAGTCATGTCCAACAGCAAAAACAATCTCGGCACTGCCATCATGATTATACAGTTGACATGTTTGCACGTTTTTGTGATATACCACCGCTACACATCCATCCTTATAAATGTACAATTGCAGATTACAATCAGTAAGCGCGTAGCCATTCATTAGAATCTGAGCCAATCACACAGTAATTTGCCCAGTATCTGATCACTCAATTGTTGTATA